GGTAATAGGTGCAGGCTGGAAGGTCGGTAGTTCAGCAGTTCGAGACCTTAGAGCTGCGTGACAGAGTGAGCTCCAGTCTCCGGTTCCAGCTCCTGCCAACCTAGCAGTTCGAAAGCAAAAAATTGCAAGTAGATAAATAGGTACTGCTTTGGTGGGAAGGTAACAGTGTTCCCAGCGCCTTGGTGTTTAGTCATGCTGGCCACATGACCACGGAAATGTCTTCAGACAGTGCTGGCTCTTCGGCTTGGAAACTGAGATGAGCACTGCAACCCTAGAGTCAGATTTGACTGGCTTTCGAGCAAGGGAAACCTTTACCTTTACTAATAGGTGTAGAGAAATCAACATTGATAATGAGACAGGAAAAACCCAGGGCTCAGTTCAGTATAGGTGGATGCATTGTCTTGAGCCTCATTATCAATTGCAATGCAGCAGACTCTCTTTCTAATCTCCCTTTGAAATTCCTTTGTATACTTTTATAGAGTGCTATCTTTTAAAGTCACATTTCTTTAGTACATTTCTTATCCTATCCTTCCTCCCAGGAAGGTGCATGTGATTTTCTCTGCCCTCCATCTTATATCCTCATAACAATCCTGTGAGGTAGGTTAGATTGTGAGACAAAGCAACTGGCCCAAGGTTACCCAGGAAGTTTCAGAGGGACTGGGGATTTGAGCCTGGGTCTCCAAGGTCCCAGTCCAACAGTCTCACTGCTATGCCACGTACGTTTCTCAAGAACCATGACCACTGAAAGTAGTATACATATAACAGATAACAGCAGCCCAATTATAACAGTGGACATTGGTGGTGGTATCCTCCTGGGCTTGTTCTGGCTATGGATCTAGCAGGGACTGAACAGGTTTCAAAGTGGCAGCTCTAAATGACCCTCTCCAGAGGGTAGAGTTGCCAACTGGTAAAAAAAAAAAAAATGTCCTGCATCTTTAACCGAGGAGTAATGGGATGTTATTTGTCAGGTAATGTTATTTACTTCCACACCATGAAAAACTTCACCAGCCCATTTTCATACATTAAGTCTCTCTTAAAGAGGATGGACATTTTTCTCTTGGCTTGTCGGCAGCCATGGATGCTAGTGCCCAGAACAGCCAGATGATAAGGTTCCAACTAGACATTACATGATGTAACATAAGTCAACGAGGGGGACTTGCTGACAGAAGGCGGCTGCAAGTTTCCCTTGCTAGGGGTGCCAGCCTCCAGGTGGGACCTGGGAATCCTCCAGAATGACAGCTCACCTCCAGACTACACAGATCAGTTCCCCTGGAGAAAATGGATGCCTTGGAGGGTGGTGGACATTATGGCCTTGTACCCCACTGAGGTCCCTGTTACCTCCAGGCTCTATCCCCAAATCTGCAGGAGTTTTTCCCAGCCTGCATCTGGACACCCTAGGCCCCCATCTCCTGCCAGTGGCCAGGGGAGACCTGGCAACCCATTTGCAAACTCACTGCATGGCTCACAGGGGACCAGTTCTGAATGGGACTCTGGTGCAGGGGACGGTAGGGCTTCAGCCTTCCTTCTTGTGCTGTTTTCTTGATCCAAAATAGTTCCGGGGCCATTCTTTGTCCGCACAGCAGAATCAGGCCCCTGCAACATTCCCACACAGAGAACTTATAGCTACTGTCTTGTCTCCCTGCAAGTCCCCATGCTGGACTGGTGTTCATTCACGTAATTGAGATTGCTAAAAACTTGGGGGGGGGGGTGTCCTGTCCGTGTGTGAGTGCGTAAAGTACCATCAAGTTGCAGCCGATGTATGGCAACACCAGGGCCATAGCTACAGTGGGGCCTCTCCCCCCCCCCCCACTTGCTGCCGAGGCTCCCTGACTTCCCATCCAGCCCAGGACCCCCAACTTTTAATTCTTTATTTTATTTATGGCACTGATTTGGGTGGGGGCCCCCGACGTTTAAAGGCCCCCCAAATTAAAAAATCCTGGCTATGGGCCTGGGTGACACCACAGGGTTCTCCAGGCAAGAGACCAACAGAGGTGATTTGTCAGACAGCCAGTTTGGTGTGGTGGTTAAAGTGCGTGGACTCTAATCTGGGAGAACTGGGTTTGATTCCCCACTCCTCCACTTGCACCTGGCTGGATGACCTTCGGCAAGCCGTAGTTCTGATAAGAGCTGTTCTTGAAAAAGAGCAGTTTCAGTCAGAACTCTCTCAGCCCCACCTACCTCACAGGGTTGTTGTGGGGAGGGGAAGGGAAAGGAGTTTGTAAGCCGCTATGAGACACCTTTGGGTAGTGAAGGACGGGGTATAAATCCAATCTCTTCTTCTTCATTGGACTTCCTTGTTGGTTTCCCATCCAGGCACTAACCAGGGCTAATCCTCTTTAGCTTCTAATTGGGTTAACCTGGACCATCCAAAGCAGGGTCCTGTTCCTTTAGTAGAGGCTTAATGTGTAGAAACAGACAGCTGAACCTTTTCAGTGTCATGGAGGTCAACAATACCCCCGCCCCCCCAAGTAACAACCCATTAAGGAGGCAGGACTTTTTCCTTTGGATTGTTGACAGCCCTACATGTGGTGTCTGATTGGGAGCTTGCTATCTTCATTAAAAGCCATGGAGCTGGCGACTCTTAACTTGTAACTAAGGCACTAAGGGAGGTGCTGGAGCCTGTGCCTGTTGCACTCTTCTTTTTGGTGCTAATGGTGCTTTGCACCGTTCTCTTCACCTGGAGAAATAGAAGGTATGCGCACAAGGGGACATCGGTCCTGGAAACCAGTTTGCCCAGAGCAAGCCACATTTGGTGTCGGCATGGCTGGAGTGTACACAGGATGTCCACCATTTATGGGATGTAGAATACAACTGTGTATGTGTTTACTCAGAAGTAAGTCCCTCAAGAGGACTTCCCAGTAAGTGTACGCAGGATAGCAGTCTTTCTCTCTTCCCAATTAGCTGTCCCCCCCCCTGTGAAGCAAGGTGCAATGTTATTTTACAGCTCTTTTGAGTCAGCAATCAAATATGGTCCACCATCGTTTGTGATATATAAGGCCAATGGAGGAGCTAGTTGGTTTCATATTGGTTGTGGAAAGCAGGCTTTGTGGTAAGTTCAGTTTTAAGATGATGTAGAGGGTAGATTCTGGAGTTTGATGTGCTTGGTATACTGTAAGGGTTCTGCTTAGTTTGAGTTTGTCCTTGGTTATTTGAGCACGCTCTGAAGTTCTAACAGTTTTGGTACGGAAGCCATGTATGTTGTTATGGTGGCTAAGTCTGTGGTTGAGATACCTGGGTGGTGTGTTCAAGATATACTGTCTCTGAAAAGGGGGGCTAGATACCAGGAACAAGAACAAAAAGAGGCTTTTCTAGAGGGCTGGTGACTAATGGTAGTGGATGGTTGTAGTCCTACAGGGGTTTTGCCTTGATATATGTTTTCCATTTTAATTTGTGGTTCTGGTTTTATGCTAGTTGAACAGTACCACATAGGGTAAAGGGTGGAGTCTTTTCCAGGTACTAAATATTGGAGGAAAACGATAGCATGGGGTGGGTGTTAAAAAGAAGAAGAGATTGGATTTATGCCCCGCCCTTCACTACCCAAAGGTCTCTCAGAGCAGTTTACAAACTCCTTTCCCTTCCCCTCCCCACAACAGACACCCTGTGAGGTAGGTGGGGCTGAGAGAGCTCTTGACAGAAACTGCTCTTTTTTCAACAACAACTCTTGTCAGAACTACGGCTTGCCCAAGGTCATCCAGCAGGTGCAAGTAGAGGAGGGGGGAATCAAACCCAGTTCTCTCAGATTAGAGTCCGTGCATTTAACCACTACACCAAAACTGGCTTGGAGATAAAAAGCCCCCATTGGCTGTATCTCTTAATAATCTATGTTTATTGCATAGGGCTAGCACCATGGGTTGCCAGCTCTGGGTCGGAAAATTCCTGGAGATTTTGGGGGTGGAGCCTGGGGAGGGTGGCATTTGGGAAGGGACCTCAGCAGAGTGCCATGCTATAGAGTCTGTTCTCCAAATCAGCTGTTTTCTCCAGGGAAACTGATTGTGGTTGTTTGGAGATCAATTCTAATAGTGGAAGATCTCCAGGTGCTCCCTGGAGGTTGGTAACCCTGGAAGTACTTACATCAAACACCTGCATTATATGCTTCCTAAGTGGCTGAGTTTAGGAATTGGGAAATTCCTTTTAATTTTTGCTTTCAATTTATTGGGTGGCCTAACCGCTTTTCCCATTGTGTTACTGACCTGTAGAATGGCTGTTGCAGCTTACATTGTAATGTTTTGCCTAAAACAAGGACTGGATAAAGTGTTACTATTTCTGTCTATTTCAGATTCTTTTTGACTACAGAGGTGTGTGTGAAAGGTGGGCTCTTTTTTAAAAAGAGGTTGGTCATTCTTACTTTTTACTTAGTTTTTTGTAATTCTAGCTGTAGCCTTTGGGAGCAGCCCCACCTACGATGTTCACAGGGAATTTAAAGGACCTTTGTATAGCCCTGGTGGGTTTTTTCAAGGTGGTGGATGAAATTTCTCCTTGAAGAACTTGGGGGGGGGATTGTTTGGATTTTCTTGAGGTGAACATTCCGTGAGGCATAGGTTTGGTTTATCTGCTGTTTTCTGTTTGTTTTATTGTTGTTTGTTGAGGCCATTCTTGGGGTAGGGTGGGGTATAAATCAAATTAAATAAATAAATGCCTGGTAAACATGATGCAGGAAAGCTTTATCCAAACTTTGGTGGAGAATTCTGAAAGTCTGGATGTTAGCGCTGTTGTGGCCTAGTCCAAGCGTTCAGTTATTTGAGTGTGTTTCTCTTGGTTTTTCTGCAGTAGCGTCTCACTATGGCTGCTAAGGAAGAGACACCAAAGTATGCAAGCACAGCAAATGAGCCACAGCTTGGTAAGGATGCATGCACAGAAAACGACCCACAGGTAGGTGGCACATCCTATAAAACTTTGGTGGAGAATTCTGAAAGTCTGGATGTTAGCGCTGTTGTGGCCTAGTCCAAGCGTTCAGTTATTTGAGTGTGTTTCTCTTGGTTTTTCTGCAGTAGCGTCTCACTATGGCTGCTAAGGAAGAGACACCAAAGGATGCAAGCACAGCAAATGAGCCACAGGTTGGTAAGGATGCAAGCACAGAAAATGACCCACAGGTAGGTGGCACATCCTATGCATTGAAGCTTGAATGCTGGCATTAAAGCAAGGTGAAATGCACGATTAAAATCACATAGTGCGAGGGGGGGAAAAGGAGACTGCGTGGGGGGGGGGGGGTAGGGAGTGGGCGGAGCCACTCTGTGGCTTCAGTGGAACAACATCACCTGCAGCAGTCAAGCAGCGTGGGAACGTCTACCCAGTGCTGCATCGCTGGCTTTCCAGTTTGCCCTTGTGGATTGTCATTTGCACACACCCCCTCCCAGCCCATGAGGCTCTGCAGTAAGGATACACCACCTCGAAGATTACCAGCTGCTGTCCTTTATACAGTTTGTATCACTGGTACCTGGCATTACTTTTTATGGCACACATGGCCCGGCCCGACAAAGTGACATATGTGTCAGATCCAGCCCTCCTAACAAATGAGTTCGACACCTCAGTTCTAGATTTTGTCCAGCACTACTGGAAAGAGATCTACTGCTGCATACAGCTTTTGCCTCTTGTTCTCTGTATTCATATGGTGGGCAGGCTGGTAGGAGAGGGTTGCTGTACCTGAGCTCTGAGTTGCAGGGCTTCTTAAATGAGCAAATGCCCTAATAAGGATGTCTTAGTAGGAGCGTAGTCTACCGTACGTCATGGCTGTTGCACAACGGAGTTCTAAGCAGAGTTCCACCCTTCTAAGCCCATCTAAAGCCCATAGGCTTAGGAGAGTGTAACCCTGTTTAGGCTTGCATGGTAAGGTGGCAATGGGGTTTTAAAGCAAGAAAGTATATTCAACTAGAGCTCACTCACATTCTACTAGATGTAGCAGTATAAGATATCCATGTGGACTTTGCCTTCATTTTGCAAATTTCTGACTTTCACAAGGATGCTGCTTGGCTCCACCCAGGAAGGGTGGAGTCTAGCAAAAGTACCACTAAGGGCCCCGCTAATTCACCATCTTGTTGACTTCTCCCTAGACTGTGATCAACAAAGTAGCTGCTCTGCCCTTGGTCAGTGCTGCCTGCGAGATGGTTTCAGCCACTTACTCTTCTGCCAAGGAGTCACACCCGGCTATCCAAGCAGTGTGTGATATGGCAGAAACGGGAGTGAAGACGGTGGCAACGTCAGCTGTGAGCAGCGCACAGCCTCTTCTCGACAAATTTGAACCTCAGAGTGAGTAAATGCTGGATATGCACATCTTGATATGAAAGTTGGACTTTTGCTCTCCGCTGGGCTTGTGCATCGCTCACAGAAAGTGCAGCTATGCAAAGGTGTCTGTGGCATCTTCACACCGGCAGTGCAAAGCTAGGAGTTGGACTGGCTATCTTTTGGAGCAGAGGGGCTGCTCTGGATGTGCCCTTGCTGTATCCAGCACATGTACTTTATTTCTTAGGGCTGAATTCTGGGGAAAAGCTGCTTGACAGATTAGCAGGCTAGCTGGGCCGTTCCCATTATATCACTAAGGAACGATTCCCTGCCCTAATGCTTGAACAGTTCTGCACTATTTCCGCACTTTTCAAAACACTTTAAATTGATGAATGGATAAGTGGATGAGCAAGAGAGAGACCTAGATGTCCATGAAGCACACCTAAAACACTGAAGTATCTGGTTCAGGGAAACATCTCTGGTACTTGAAGCAGCATTTAACTGTTGGTGTGGATTGGTGCTGCGGTGGCTCAAGTAGTTAAGACGCTGAACTGCAGGCTGTGGAAGGTTGGTAGTTCAGCAGTTTGAGACCCGGGTGTGCTGCATGACGGAGTGAGCTCCCGTCTCTAGTTCCAGCTCCTGCCAACCTAGCAGTTCGAAAGCAAGAAATTGCAAGTAGATAAATAGGTACCACTTCAGTGGGAAGGTAACAGCGTTCTGTGCGCCTTGGTGTTTAGTCATGCCGGCCACATGACCACGGAAATGTCTTCAGACAGCACTGGCTCTTCGGCTTTGAAATGGAGATGAGCACCGCAACCCTAGAGTCGGATTCGACTGGCTTTCGAGCAAGGGAACCTTTACCTTTATGTATTGGTTATCTTTTGTTAACCCTGCTTTCATACTGCAGATTGAGGGCTTGCTGGGAGCTCCCTTAAAATATTCATTTTCTCTCTTTTTTTGTTAGTATTTTGTTTGTG